CTCCAGTCTGGGCGACAGAGTGAGACTCCAACTCAAAAAAACAAAACAAAACAAAAGAAAAAAACCTATGGATTTAAACATATTCTGATGTGTTTCATTTCTCCTCAGTTATTCATAATCAATGCTCAACTGTTGTACTTTTGGCTTGTGGTAGCTTCTTCAAGTTGGTCCCTGAGTATTCCCATATGACCCAGTCTTTTCCAACTTCTTTGCTACCTGTTAGGACAAGATAGTCCAGGGTTACCTTACACAATTCCTGCCCCAAACCTAAAATCTCCTATTTCTTCAAGTAGCTTTAGTTTCCTGAGCTGACTTAGAAAAAAATATTTGTTCTTGTATTAAAAAAAATATAAACAGGGCAAAAACAAATGACATACAAAATAAATTTAAAATACTTAACATATAATGAAAAGAAGTTTAATCTGACCAATGAGTGAAATGCAAAGTAAAGCAGCAATGGTTTACTTTACACAAAAGGGAAAAAATATAAATATAAATATAATACAGCCATACTATGCAATACTATGAAACCACTAAAATAATACAGCAGGACTATATGCACAACATAAAAAATAACACAGCAGGACTATATGCGCAACATAAAAAAAGTTCAAGATAAAATGAGAATATGCAGGTTAAAAAATAGAATATTATATAAACTTGGTTACAACACACACATACACACACACACACACACACACACACACACCCCTCACCTCCCCATAAAAACAAATATGAGAAGAATTATAATTGATATTCCACTTTATACTTGCTTTAATTCTATATTTTTCTAATATTTCACAAAAAATATTACTTTCATAACCCAGAAGAACAAATGTTCCTATTTTGCAAATTAAAAATACTACAAATGATCATGTAGAGCAGGGGTGTCTAAACTTTTGACTTTGCTGAGCTGCATCAAGCAAAAAGGAATTGTCTTGGACCGCACATAAATTATACAATATAGTTAGTGTATATATAGAATAAGACTTATTTTTTAATATTTTTACTATAAAGTTTAGGAAAATGAGAACAATATAAAACCGGTAAGAAATTAGGCCTTGTTTTGTAAGACTAATCTATCAATATCTAAACTAATATCAAGACTAATCTATCAATGAAAGTGGTCACAATTCTTAGTGAGTACTTAAGGTGCTCGTCAGAAATGTTTTTACGAATTTTGCTCTTTGTGTGCTTCATAATTAAAAACAGCCACTCACAAACGTATATGCTGCCAAAAAGCAATGTCACAAATAAAGTGTGATTGAGAAGTGAGGGATATTTTTCTCTGGGAATAAAGGTCGTATAAAAGCCCAATAAAGAGACATGGTCAAATTTTTCTTTCAGTTGAATGTCTGATTACAACTCTATGCATCCCATTTGAAAATTTGCAGGTAAAATACTAATGTCAACTGAAAATGATGTAGCAAATACATACAGCAAAATAATGATTATTTTGCCAGAAATCTTGAAGTCTGTTTTCAAATTCCTGTGTTAAGACATAAAGCAAAGCTGCATATTTTTGGCAGTTCACAGGATTGTGTTTAATTAGCCAATGTAACAAAATGTGTTAAATTATTTGCCATAATTTGAGCTTGCCATAATTTAAACTTCATTTCAAGTGCAGTATGCTTTGGAACTTCAAAAATGGAACTACGCATTGAGTGACAAAGAAAGTAAATGCTAAAAAATACATAATGTTAAAAGATTTTGTGGGGTTGCATTACTAGCTGTCCTGGGTTGCATGTAGCCCACAGCCTATGGGTTTGGACATGTCTGATGTACAGCTGCATTAAACAATGTATCTGCATGAGCTCATTTTATAAAAGAAAAAGTGTTGGGTTTACTTTAAAACAATTTTTAAATAGCATTTCAAACTTTTACAGTGTCTTTTTATCCCCCTGGGAGCAGAACAACAAGTGAGTTACACTTTCTGCTTTAGTCTTTAGTTTTTGTACTGTTTGTGTACTAGTTTTCAATTAAAAGAAAAAAGGTATTTTCATTTAATCCTTTAAAAATTCCTACTAACTATGAATATTTCATTTATGTTTTCTGATATAGAATAATATAGAGAGACAATATACAAATAAAAACTGCTATGGAATTCCAGAATTAAAAATTATGCTACTAAAGCTTTAAATCTTCTGGTCTGTTTATAACACTGACATTCACAGATAGATTTTCCTCCTCTATCAGCTTGTATCATCACTATAAAGTTCTTACATTTTGTTTCAGATTTTTAGGTAAGCACTAACAATTAGAAGACAAAAATAATTTGTCCCAAAGGAAGAGCAGTCAGGAATCTGAAAATACAAAATGTTTCAAAATCTAAAACTCTGAGTGCTGACACAACACTCCAAGGAAATGTTCATCAGAGCATTTTAGATTTCAGATTTGAGATGCTCAACTGTTAGCGCGAATATTTCAAAATATGAAAAAAATCTGAAATCCAAAACACGTCTGGATCCCAAGCATTTTAGAAAAGGGATATTCAACCCATATGTATTTTTTGCTTATGTAATGGGTTACAATACATGCTGGTCTTCTCAATTAGAGTGAGCTAGTGGACAGTAATAAGACTCAGAAAACATTGCTCTACTATTTGTGTATAAAACATCTAGTTTAGTATTTATTTATTCATCTATTATTCAGTATGGCTCTCATTACATGTAGTGTACCAAACAAAGCAACAAAATAAGCAGTAGTGCCTTCAGGAGCCTACAACAGGAAAAAAGACACACAAAAAGCTACAATGAAAGGCAAGTAATTAACTGTCACACTCATTAACATCACTCAACTACTGAAGGCTTACTCTGCACCAAGCATAGTGCTAAAGGCTTTATGAACGTTACTATATAACCTCTTATAAGCTCGGTGTTCATATGCACTCGTTTTAAGAGAAGACACCGGGGACTGAAAAAGATTAGGCAATTTGCCTAGGGTTACACTGTTAAGTGCAGATCCAGGATTCAAACACAAGCCGGTGTCACTCAAAAGTTCCTGCTCATAACCACTGGAAATACCACTTGTGCGTTTTAAATGTTGAGAAGAAAGAGACATGGAAGGACGAAAATAAAGGGATGGGTGCTGAAGGGAAACATTCCTGGTTTACACTTACACACAGTATGTACTTTATCTTTTAATCTGTTAAATTATTATGTTTAGGAAACAAAGTGCCCAATTTGGACATAACAAAGACTCACCGTCTAATGAAAGAAAAGACAAATAAATGAAAGATTACAATACAATGGGATTATCTGTTGGTAGAATAAATGGCCCAAACTTTCAGGAAAGCAAATCAACATTAATAAAAAATTTAAAACTTCAATAGTACTCTTTTCAAAGTCCACTCGTGTTTATCTATTTGGGGGGTAGACAGTGAATGAATAAATTCTTAATAGTGCTGAAACTGAGAAAGTAAAATATATGTATGTATAAAATGGTGGAATTTTTAAAATAATGGGCATATATTAACTCTTCAATTAAATGCTTTAAAGCTGGGCTTGGTGGCTCAGCCTGTAATCCTGCGCCTTTGGGAGGCTGAGGTGAGTGGACTGCCTGAGCCTGCGGGTTTGAGACCCACCTGGGTAGGTGAGACCTCATCTCTACAATAAATCAAAAAATTAGCCGGGCGTGGTAGCACGCGCCTGTAATTCCGGCTACTCGGAAGGCTGAGGTGGAAGGATCGCCGGAGCCCAGCAGGTCGAGGCTGCGGTGGCCGGGCGCAGCCACTGCGCTCCAGTCTGGGCAACAGAGTGAGACTCCAACTCAAAAAAAAAAAAAAAAAAAAAGCTTTAAAACACAATTAAGATATGTTATAACCTGGAATGCATTGAATACTATAGAACCACAGAACTCTGCTAAACAGACAGAGGTGTCTTAGCTTCTGGATTCTGTTCACATTCCACCAACTACTGTGTGACTATGGGCAAGCAGCTTCATTATTCTGAACCTCAGTTTCCTCATTTAGAAAGTAAAACAGCAAAGCTTATTATGACTATTTCATAGATTTATAGGGAAGATCAAATACGAAAAAGTATGAAGTCATAAACTAACAGGTGTCATTAACAGTTTTAGATAATTCTGAATACTAAGCTAGGCCATTTTCCACAGGAAAATGAGGTTTCTCTAAACCATCCTGCATACTTCTTTTCTGTTATTAATGCTAAATTCTTAACTTTGCACTGTCCAAAAAAACTTTCTACAATGATGAGAATATTCTGTATTTGTGCTGTCTGTCCAATATGGGAGTCACTAACCACATGTGGATACTGAGCTCTTAAAATACAGCTAGTGTGACTAAGTTACTGAATTTTAATTTAAATTAATATAGCTACATATGGTCAATGGTTACCGTACTAGCCTAGTCTTTTCTTCTACCTCTCTCCTCATTAAATTACAAATGTAAAAACATTTCTCAGAACATTCTTCACTTAAATAATTAGATATTAATTTTTATTTTTTTAGCCACTCCTTCTCAGACTGAAAATAATTAACTTTTAAGGGATGCCAGAAAAGTAGCTTGAAGTCTTAAGATGTCATCTTTAGGGTAAAATTATTTTTTAAGAATATCTTACTGGAACCTATAATTAAATAACCACGGACTAATACTTTACAGTGATTTAAGAAAGATAAAAGTTATGTGTTTTTGTTTTGTTTTAAAATATGCTAGTCTGTAGGAATTTGCAAGACAAAAAATCCAGAGTCCTTACCAAAAAGGCTTTAATCATTAAGTCAATCTTACCTTTAGCTCTGCTTGTATGAACTCTTGCACGCACCCAAATAACTTCATCAGCTTTTTGTACTGTCAAATCTCTTATCCGAACCAAAGCTCGGTCTGCAACCAAGAGTCAAAACAATTTTTACATTCAGACTTTACAAAGAGATCAAAATTACTGCTGCCTGACAGCTACCGTAAGTATTTTGTATCACTTTAAAGAATTCCTAATCTTTGACAACACTGTCTTTCCTATCACCTTCCATATAAAATGTGCCACAAGTTTTGTGAATTGTATTTTCTAACTGTATTTCTATATTACTGCCAGCATACTAACCAAGCTACCACCATCTCCTACTTAAACAAAAGCAATAGTCTCCTAACTGGAAGTCCCCCAGTCCTCTTCCAATTCAGTCTACAATGCAGTCAAATAGTTTTTAAATGCAAATCTAAACATTTCAAGGACTTATAAAGCCAAACACAGCCCATCCTCACCTGCCTACCACTCACTGGACATGGCACTTTTGCCTGTCTACCATAGTATGTAAGTCAGTTAGCCACAGGGGAGGAATCTCTGACAGGCCTGCACAGTTGCAGTAATCCATTCCCTGGGACACAATGACTAATCCAGTGAAGGGCACTCCTCAAACTGAACTAATCAAAGTCCTTCTCTGGGACTTAATATACAGATGCTGGGAATGAGGCCCTCTTCCCTGGGGTCACTGTGTTGAGATGGTACAGGTTCAGGACTGCAGCCACCATCTTTCCCACCACATGAGGAGGATGAGAAAATGAGGCCAATATCCTAAAGGAGGCAGAGCCAAGGGTAGGAAGCCCTGAAGATGCTGCTTGAGTCCCTAGATCCAACCACACTTGATGCCATTTTACACTTTTGTTTTCTATAGCTATGTGAGTCCTTTTGGGTCTAAGTAAGCCCCAACTATTATGCCCCCAATACTAAACAAAATACTACATCCATCAAGAGTTCCCCCCAAAAAGAAAACAACAACAAAACAACCATTATATAAAGATAGTCATATGATGCAACATTCAGAAATCATTTTGCTATTGTTCTAAATATGTAATAATTTGATTAGAGAAGAAAATTAAGAATTAGCTAAAAACACAGTAACAGGTATGACATTATAATATCAAGAATAATACCTTTTAGGACACTATAGTAAAATCAAATTATGAATACCATATATTTTACTTATTTTGTCTTAATGTATTTACAATTTGTTTCTTAAGCAAAGATAGATGTAGAAAAAATCTGATTTACAGGAGAATACCATGCTTCTCAGAGCCAAAAGTAAAGAGAATGAAAGAGGAATTTTAGCTGAGCTCTGTGGCTCACGCCTGTAATCCCAGCACTTTGGGAAGCGGAGGAGAGAGGCCTGTCTGAGCCCAAGGGTTCGAGACTAGTCTGTGCAACCTGGCAAGACCTCATCTCTACAATGAAAAAAAACCACAAAAAACTAGCCAGGTGTGGTGGTGTATGACTATGGTTCCAGCTACTTGGAAGGCAGAAGGATCACCTGAGCCCAGTGGGTTGAGGCTGCGGTGGCCATGAGCATGTCACTGCACTTCAGCCTGGGCAACAAAGTAAGACTCCAATTCCAAAAAAAAAAAGTAAGAGGAATTTTAAAGCCGCTGGTGTCATAACAGGATTTCTGCAATATACTGCTAACAGATTTTATGAGTTAAGCCAACTTCCAAGTCTGCTGTGTAAACTCAGGCAAGAGGAAGTATGAAAGAAAAAAGACAAATCAGCATTAAGATTTTTAAAAGGCAGATTAAAAACTGCCAAAATTGAAAAAGCCATCATTTACTAACCAGGCAATCAAAATTCAAAACCAAACAAAATGGAGTAGCAAAAATCTAAAAAAGTGGACTTATATATAGGACAGGCAGGGTAGCTCATATCTATAATCCCAGCACATTGGGAGACTGAGGCAGGTGGATTGCTTGAGGCCAGGAGTTTGAGACCAGCCTGGGAAACATAGTGAGACCTCGTTTTTTGTTTTTTTGTTTTTAATTTTTTTTAAATTGCAAGGGTCGACTTATAAATTATGTGGATTAGGATAATTTATCAGTACTTTGGAAAAGAAAAGGGATAATAATGGCCCTTATTGTGGCATCCCGATTAATTAGCACAGGGGTTCTCAACATTTAATATATTTCCGCATATTTCAGGCACATGTTTTGCTCCCACCAGTATGGTTGTCTAACTGAGACAATGATCGGGGTAGTAGGATTTTAGTTTGAAAAACTACTGCCTATCCCATACTTTGAAGAGTCACTAGCTTTAGAGGAAAGGAATTTGGAGAAACGGAAGGAGATAGAAAAGGAAACAAAGTTGAGCAAAATATTAGGATTTTTGCAGAGGCAGAACCAAAAGTCGAATTTTATTGTTATATTACTATATCATATTACATACATAAATTATCTTTCCCTCTGGTGGGGGGAACTTCTTAATTATAAGAACACAGCAGTCAATAGATTTGTCAGCCAAAAGAAACAGCAATTATGTCAATGGCTGCTTGGACCTACCTAAAAGAATGAAACTCCAGTGAGGTTCTTTGAGCTATAATTCAAGGAAGTCCAGTTGCAGAAGACATCTAATCTGAAAACCAAGTCTCAAATGTCTCCTGCTTGCCCTGGTGGGGAATGTCATCCTCTATACTCTACTACTGCTGGTAATCATTTTACACAGGTTAATATTCTTCAACCAAAAATCCAAAATGCTCCATAATTCAAAAGGGTTTGAATACTGAGATGATGCTCAAAGGAAATGCTCACTGGAGTAATCTGAGATTTCAGATTTTTGTATGAGGGATACTCAAGCGTTAAGTTTAAAGCAAATATTCTGAAAAAAAAAAAAAAAAAAAAAAATCCAAACACTTCTGGTTCCAAGCATTTCAGATAAGGGATATTCAACCTATAATTCATTCTTTTACTTCATTTTTATCTTTTCAAATGGGTTGATTTTTGGCCTTTTATTGTAGACCTTTCCAACAAAGTTGGGAAGAAAAAATAATTCTGTGATTATGCAGAAAGTAAAATATAAAATAACAATAAAATTGACCTGAAGGTGTATATTATTTCTAAAATATGATATTCACAGGCAGCCCTCTAAATGCAAAGTAGTACTCCCAATGGGCCAGAACTTAAATGTCTGTAGCTAGTGTACTACAGACTGAAAGACATAACTTCAGGTACCTACCAAAAGAAAAAAGATTGTTAAATAGCTGAGGAAGAGAAATCTATTGAAGTTACATAGCATATAAAACATAAACAGGTCGAGTGCATGGTTCACACCTTTAACCCCAACACTTTGGAAGGCCAAAGCAGGAGGACGTTTTTGAGCCTGGGAGTTAAAGATCAGCCTAAGCAACACAGGGAGACCCTGTCTGTATAAGAAATAAAACATCTTGCCAGGTGTGGTGGCACATGCCCGTAATCCCTGCTACTCACAAGGCTGAGGTAGTAGGATTGCCTGAGCCCAGGAGGCTGAGGCTGTGGTGAGCCACTGCATTCTAGCCTGGGCAACAGAGTGAGACCCTGACTCAAACAAACAACAACAACAACAACAACAAAAAAAAAAGGAGAGCAAAAATTTACAAATAAAAAACTTACAGGTCTGAGAGAAGCATCATATAAGTCAAGTCAATTTTAAAGAAATATTAAGATGCCAACATATATTACAAAAAAGGGAGCTGTAGTAAGAAAAGATAAACTAGAGTCTAAGAATGATTTTCATTTCCAGACATACAGGTGAAGAGTAAACAAAGTAGAATGGGTACATGGCCTTAAAAATGAGTATGTGGCCAAAGGAGCCAGAGAGGATGGAAAGACCCATGGACTCTAGGGTCAAGATGGTCTTGGTTCCAATTGCAGAACTGGCAGATTCTGGCTCTGTGAGGCAAGTTTCGTATCAGCCTAACAAGTAGCTGGAACTACAAGTATGTGCCACACACCCAGCTAATTTTCTGATTTATTGCAGAGACAAGGTCATGCCATGTTGCCCAAGTTGGTCTCGAACCTGCAGACTCAGGCAATCCTCTCACCTCCATCTCCCAAAGTGCTGAAATGATAGGCGTGAGCCACCATGCCTGGCAGTTTCCTTAGAGTTTTAAAGGACGTTATAAAGATTAAATACAAATATAAATGTTTGGGAAGAGTCAAGCAGAACAGTTTAATCAATAATAGCCAAAGCCAAAAATAAAATTGGTGGGTATGTGGGGGGAGTGATAAAGGAGGTAGCTTCATTAAAGCTGCAAAAAGTTTACACACGATGAAGGCAATTATTCTTAACTGCTCTTCTTTTATTCCCTAGTGTCCAGGTAAATCTTATCTAATCTAAATGACTATCCTGAAAAACAATCCAAAAATTAAATCTACTATTTAGAACAGACTATTTAACCTGTAATATTCATTTACTGTATTTTCTTCATTTTCTAAGTTAGAAATCCTAAACTGACAATGTGTACACAGGATTATGACATCTACTTGGGTTATTGATGTCATTTTAGCTTTTCAGAGTTATGCCTTTAGTTATGCCAACCTTACTTAAAACTTCATGAAGCGCTTTCCTGGAATTAGAAAGGAAAAAAAGCTGTAATTATTGTTACATAGCTACTAACCTGGCTTTTCTTGTGATTGTATCATTGATGATATTCCATATCTCTCTTTAGCATAATCCTACAAAAAAAGTTTGTGCATGACTTTTTATGTAAACACTAACAGCATAGCAAACACACAAATACAAGTAACGTAATATAAAAATAGGTTTGTTTTAACTTTCAGGATCATTCCATAATTCAGAGTCAGTACTTTTATAATGTGAAAATTTGTCATTCATTTACATATGTACGCTATAGGAAAAAACCTCTCAGTTTCTGGTTAGTTTGTTTTGAAGATCACCACTCCTAGATGGATATACCATACTTAATAGCACTCTCAGATAAAATTTACACACGTTTAGCACATCTTAACTACCTTCTCTGAAAAGGAGATGAAACTACTTCAAAGAAGAGATATAAATTTCCTCTGGGAAGGGAGTAGGATGAGGTACCACAGTTTTATTAACTTCCTATTACAGGAAGGGATGTTCAAAGAGAACCAATGTTTTGGGTAACCTTCCTGAACACCAGATGTTCACAGTTTTTAGAAATCAGAGATGTTGGGTATAAGTTAACTACAACTTTCCTTTTGTAAAACATCATCAAAAAATTTGCCAACTTCCTGTTTCTAAAAATTAGCTTCAGACTACCAGGTTATAAGGGATCAACACTGACAGTACAATAATATCAAATTTCTTGTTACAGATTTAGCATTAGAAACAGGAAAACTAGAGTCCAGACTATGAAAAACTGTACTTATTAAATAGGCAAGTGACCTTTTAATCTTATTTTACCTCTAAAATGATCTCTTAAGATCCTTCTAGCTATATGATGACATAACTCTGCTACAAATGCTTCTTATAGCTAGACCTATGCTATCTGCAAGGATGCACTACTGGTTTATGTAACTAATCAGATCAAGAATAGACAAAAATAATTTCCTTAGATTTTTACAAGATAACTTAAGATCTGTAGAAAACAATTTATTTCCTTCACTATACAGCTACCTGTTGGAATCCTCTCCTTTAGATCTGTAGGATACTGGACTTTGTGTCTACACCAAAATAAACAAGACACGTTAAGGTATTTCCTAAACAATCTTTTTTCAGGTATTAAGAAAATACAACCGGGCTCGGTGGCTCAGCCTGTAATCCCACACCTTTGGGAGGCTGAGGTGAGCGGATTGCCTGAGCCCGCGGGTTCGAGACCCACCTGGGCAGCGAGACCTCATCTCTACAATAAATCAAAAAATCAGCTGGGCGTGGTAGCGCGAGCCTGTAGTTCCAGCTACTTGGAAGGCTGAGGCGGAAGTATCGCAGGAGCCCAGCAGGTTGAGGCTGCGGTGGCCAGGAGCGGCCACTGTTCTCCAGTCTGGACGACAGAGTGAGACTCCAACTCAAAAAAAAAAAGAAAGAAAATACACTTCAAGGACAAAGCTAATCCAGGCCAGAGAGACAGGCCAGAGAGAAGCAGTCACACAATAAAGCCTGTGGGCAGCAAAAAATAGGTTAAATTGTGTGAAGACAAAAAAGGGTATCATCCGTTCTAATTAATGTTATTCATATTTTAGCAACCCTTATTGCATTTAGTGTTCTGACATCACCTATTTCTTATGTACTTTACCACAAATTCAGAATTCCTGGACAGAAAAATTAGGAGCCAGGAGGAATGAAGGCTTAATATTACAACAGCATACATAACTTGTGGGATGGTTTTACACGTGGATTTCTGAAAAGCACTGAAGGACCACTGGGTGTTAATTACCCAGGGGATTTTGGGTCACTTCACCTCAAATGCCTTCTCTGCAACCTTTGCTACCCACCTCAATGGGTCACTGAGGGGGGAAAGGAAATAAAAATGACATGTGTCTTTAAAGCTGTCACATGGAAAATGGTCATTAAATATACTGGCAGATGGTTTTGCTAAGTACTGTCATCACGTGCCAAAACATTAAGAACGCGAGGGCTGAGTACTTATCGATCACCGGTGGGTACTAAAATTCCGCCCCCCACCCGCCCTCTCCGGTGTGGGGGGCTGCATTACGTGCGGGACGTGCCAAACCCAGAGCGGCTCAAGTGTGACTCTGTCGCTCCCACTTCCGGGGACACGCTCCTCGGGGACCAGACTCCCAGGCGGCTCCGTGAGAAATGCGGTCCGGAGTGGCTCCGGCACTGCTGATCGGGCAATGACCCTGGAGGCCTCGTGGCGACTCTGGGCGCCCGGACCCCAGACCCGCGGCCGGCAGCTTAAGTGCTGACAGGGCCCCGCTCACCCTACACCCTCCCTCAGCGCGGTCCGGCCCAGGACTCTGTCCTCCCCGGCCAGGGAAAGAAGGAAACGCACTTCCGCCGCCTCCATGATCTCCCGCGGCCTCTCCTGACTCTTGCGGCTGGCGTTGGCGCTGGGCATCGTGACACCGAACGGGGCAGTGGACACCACCCTCTCTCGTAGGCTTCCGTAGGGCAGGCCAAGAGGGCCTCTCCCTCCCGCACAGTCTCCGCCCTCCGGCCCTCGGAGCTCAGCACACGCGCTCGGACTCCGCGTGGACGGGCGGCTCCCGAAAGATCGCGAGAGCTGCGGCTATCTCGAGATCCGCCGGGGGCCGCGCGCGGAGTCGCCTCCGACTCCTGCCCCGCCCCTAACGGGAGCCTTCGCGGAGTCGGAGGGAATTTCCGGGAATTCGCTAGATTTTCGCGCGATCGGCTCTGGGGGGCGGGGGTCCCAGACTACCAGGTGGCGCGCCGTGGGTGGTCGGGCTTCGCTCCTCTCCCGCTTCATTCCGTCTGCGACTTCTGTTCTTCCAGCCCTTTCAGCTTCTTTCGCTTTACCTGCCCATGTGTAGCTTACCGTCTAATTGCAGGTGGAGGAAAATTGTATTCCGTATTTAACTGATCAGTGATTACATCTTTGTGCCAGGCATTCTGTCAGGAGCTGGCAATAAAAAAATAAGTCCTGGTTTTTGTTTTTAATACGACATAGAGGCCCAGGCTACTAGATACTCTACCTTGATACACGCCTCCATGATCACAGAGGCAGGAAGAGCTCAAAGTGGCTGCCTGGAGGTGACACACTTCACATCTGCTCGTTTCTTTAGCCAAACACCTGCTTTGCCCCAACGATCAGCCTCGGTTTTCCTCTCTGGAATGTCCCCAGCGCTTGGTAGCTGCTTGGGGTCAGAGGAAGTCCCTTGACAAACCACTGCTCGGAGTGTTGGGGCACAGGGGTGCAACTGGCTTGCTAAGGCAGGTTGGGTACTTAAGTGATAAGTGAGGTGGCTACAACGACGACAAAAACCCCCTCATAAGTGCATCGATTGCCTGGATCTCTTGCGTTGTTCGAGGCAGTGCATATAATGTTGGTTGTCCAGTGGGTGAATCTTCCCAAATTAGGCTGCTCTAAAAAACTGTCATTCATATCACATGTTCTCACCCATAAGTGGGCCCTGATCACTGATCACAGGAGCACAGGGTGGGAAGAGCAGATGCTATGAATGGAAGGGAGGGAGAAAGGGTACCAGGTCTACTATTGAGGTGAGCGGGCCTTCTAGTAGTCCAAACCTCATTTGAACTCAACTTAATAGTAAAGTCTTATATGTACCCCACAACTCTAAAATAAAATAAAATAAAATAAAAATACATCTTCATGTACACAGTTCTGGTAAATATCTTTTTTTTTTTTGGAGTCAGAATCTCACTCTGCCCAGACTGGAGTGCGGTGGCACACTCACGGCCATCGCCGCCTCAACCTGCTGGGCTCAGGCAATCCTTCCACCTAAGCCTTCCAAGTAGCTGGAACTACAGGCGTGTGCCACCACGCCTGGCTAATTTTTTGGTTTTTATTGTAGAGATGAGGCAAGTTGTCAGCTGGTCTCGAACCCGTGGGCTCAGGCAGATACCTTTTTACATTAGGAAAAAGCTGTAATTCTGGAGCTTTTTACTGAAATTGAAAGTAATTTGGAGATTTGGTTAAATACTGTTTTTCCTGCCAGACTTCTTTGTACTCCATCAAATTTCAACTGTCTGTAGTGTCTCAGCCTGGCACAAAGTGGCACAGTCAATACTAGTTAAGGGGTGCAGGCAGACGCCAGCACAAATGAGAGATCTCTGGAGGCTTCCTCGTTGAAGTCTTGAGATACAGGAGTGAGGGGACAGTCATGGTCCCTGCCTGTGGGTAGCTTACTGTCTAATTCCAGGTGGGGTAAAATGTTAAGCCCCATTTAATTCATCAATGAGTATTTATAAACATCTACTCTGTGCCAGGCATTCTGTCAGGCACTAACAACAAAATGGTAAGTCCTAATTCCTGTTCTTCCTAATTCCTGTTCTTAATATGACACAGGGACATAGGGTGATAGATGTTCCATCCTGATACATGCTTCCATGTTCTCAGAGGCTGGGAGAGAGCCAAACTCTTATAGTGGCTGCCTGGAGGTGACACACTTCACCTTATGTTCCTGTTCTATTGGCCAACACAAGTCACATGGGTATTCCTGAGTTCAAGAGGGCAGGAGAATTTACTCATTCTTCAGGAATTAACACTGAATATTTGTGATTAACAATACATTCCATTAAAAATGCATTCCATTATATTCATGGGATTCCAACATAGAAGGAGTCTGTGAATTTACTTCATCTTGGGAGGTATTTTTTTAAGCTTTTATTCCTTCAATTAGGTATAGTCCTAATGTATAAACTGATTATCAGAAATCTAAAAACAAATCCCATCTGTTATTCCTTTGCTAGAATAGGAATTATCTTTCCTTTTGTCCATGAGGCCTCTCCATGCACTTCTTCCTTACTTTGGCCCCCTTTCCTTGAAAGATTATTCTTATTTAGGTCAGAGCCTTGGAGTAAGTCTGTAAATATATACTTTTTGCTTCGGGCCCTCCTTCCTCATAGTGATAGAGAAGCATTTGCCAGATCAATGATCATATATCATGTGCCTCAAATCTTATAAATCTGCTTTAGTAAAGATACCACAGCTATCACTGAGGCTCCTACTTGGTTGAATTTGCCGTAATCCACTGGCAGCCTCCTGAATCTGTTTGGTTTTTGTAGAAGCCATACTGGTGACAATAGGAATATGATGGAGGTGATCAACCATAAGCAATGTGCTAATCTCCTCGATTCATCTTGGGGATGTGATATTGTTTGTGATTTACTGTCCTGGTTGAGGGCGGGGGAGTTTTACAGTTTTCCTTTCGACTTTCTGCGGTATCCCTTTTCCACAGGTTAAGGAACGTGGGGGAACAGCTTAGCCATGTCACCCTAGCCACCTTGCAGGTATCCACATAAGCCACATAGGCAAGAGCTTAAACTGCAGCTAATCTGAATCTTGGAAGAACACCTTGTTATTCTCCTGGAACATGAGATGATGAGAGGCCATCTCCCAATCACTTCACCATCTCCCTGGGAGACTTTCATGGGATGGTTTCCCATCACCTCTCAGGTTTTGAAACTTCTTGTCCCCCTCCCTCAATGGAGCTACAGAATATAATACTGCTTAACCCGGAGTTTAGATGTGGCTTTTCATAACAGAATGTCCTGCAACTCATACTGCAGTTATCTGGTCCCTTTTGTTTCAGTGATGTTCTTACTGGTGTGTGGGACAAGGATTACAGGGAGCTGGCAACTGTGGCTTATTCATCTTTTCACTGTGTAAGTAATAAACTGTCTAATTCTAAAGGCTGGTTGTTACAGCTTTACCCATGGACTCAGTCTGGCCTTGACCTTAGCCTTCCTTGTTTTATGTGTTCCTGTCATGAGAGGAATCAATGTGGGGCTACCAATATGGCAACTACCAATATGTCCATAGCAAATCATACATTTTGGGACAAGGAAAATGACTTATGGGTGGGGCCATTGACCCATGGATCCATTCTATCTGTTGCTGTTAAGAGATTTGAAGCACCATTGTGATTCTTGATTCTTTATAATCAACTCCTTTCCCCCTGGAAAAAAGCAGCTCCCAGGATAACTGCTAAGTAGGCTACACTGGCCCTCCTCTTTGTTTCTACTGCTCTGGAATTTCATAATGTATGCCAGCCTGTGAGTTTAAATTCATCATTGTATTGGACATCCAGTGGGCTTTTCCATCTGCAAACTCATTAGCTCTGGGCATTTTCTTGAAAAATGTATTTGATGATTCTCTCCCTTCCATTTTCTTTTTCTTAAATTCTTATTACTCAAGTATTGACTTTTCTGAGCTACTCATCTAATTTTCTTATCATTTCTTTCCATTTTCCATCCTATTGCCTTTCTGGTCTGCTTTTGAGAGATTTCTTCAACTTTATCTTCTAATCTTCCAATTGAGATTTTCTCATTTGTGCTATCATGTTCATAATTTCCTAGAGCACTTTTTTGTTCTTGAAATGGCCCTTTAAAAGAAGAAAGTCCTGATCTTTCAACACTTAAGTAACATCTTCTCATCTTACTCAGCATATTAATAAGTTATCTCTGGGAGTAATTTTTAAAAATGTTCTCTCCATGTAGCCCATTTCTTACCAGTTGCTTTTTGGTCTCTATCTTCCATGTTAGAGGCCTATCTCAGGTGTGTGGTGAATGCTTGATTGTCTGTTTATGTTTAAAGTGGAGACTAAAAAACTCACTAGAAGCTGTGAGCACTTGTGTGATGTTTCTAAATTTTGAGTTTGCCAGTTTTGAGTATGATGCTCTGGTCGGGCCATTTGATGGGTATCACTATCTTTAGATCCTTCCCTTTCGTCAGATTGTTCAGAAAAAAAAAAAAAAAGAAAACCTCCTGTAATCTCCTACCTGAAGAGTAATAATCTGACTGTTAGTGTTCTAGGAGTAATTGACATCCAGCATGTTTGGTCACCGAATTCCTCTAGTTTTGGTACAGCAACCAGTTCTGAAGTCAAAGGATCCATCTTTTTACCTTCTCCAGGGAATATATCATGCCAGGACAGAAGACTTGCCAAAAGAGTAGAGTTGGTGGGTGGGGGACAGCCCCACCTCCACTTCCAGAGGTACTTGGTACTGCTTGTTCTGAGTCTTTTGAGATTCCTATGGTATAAATTATGTAGTTTCTCATTTTTCCTGACTGCTACCTTAGGATTCAATTTTTCATGTCTACTAAGTAGGTTACCACTGGTGCATCTGCTTTCTAGCTTTCCATATTTTGGGTGTGTCTCCTCTCCTGTTCTCCCATCCCATTCATGATAATTTTTGTTGCTTTAGGGGCAGGAGCAAGATTAGATCTGCTATCTTAACACAGAAGTCACTTTTCATGTTCTATTTTACAAAGTGAGCATATACTAAGTTTCTAGCGGATGATTGTGTAGTTGCCATAATGAATAGCAATGCTCATACATTCTTTCAACAAATATTTATTGAGAGCCAACTGTATGTCAGGCACTAGTCTAGACATTTAGAATATGTCAGAGAATAAAGTAGATTAAGATCCCAGTTCCTGTGGGACTTATATTTTAGTGGATGGAAGCAGATAATAAGTAATAAACATAATAAGTAAACTATGCAAAATGTTAGAAAGTGATAAGAAAAAGGGAAAGGTAAGGGAGATGGGAAGTACTGACCAGGCACGGTGGCTTACACCTGTAATCCCAGCATTTCGGGAGGTCAAGGCGGAAGAATCTC